ATCCTGCACATTGGACATGCCAAAGCCATCAATTTCAACTTTGGCTATGCCGAGGTGAGCATGCATCTAGCGACTTGATGAGCAAGATGATCATTTGTTGTTCCCATGACTGGATACCAGAAAGGTGTTCCTGCCTTGCTTTCTGCTCCCAACAATGCACCCAGGTGGGCAGAGGCCACTGAAAGGAACCATATGTGACAGATACCTAGGAATCCACTGGGCTTATTGGGAAAAAACTGGGAGATGAGTCTGAGTCCAAATTTGGGGGAATTGCCAGGGCAGCCCCTCAGTTTAGGAAGAGGCTATTGCTGTCAGTCTTAGGTTGGTGTAAGAGATACCTTATCTGGGGCATTTAGATACAGGAAGATGAGAGAAGCTCTTAAAGGCATTTTTAATTCTGACATGGGAGAGCTCTGAGAATGTCCTAGTTTGATGAGCTGGACTATGGGGCTGGTGGATGATGTGAGAGCTCACAGAGGTTGCAACTTTCCTAGGCTAACAATGGTATCTGTTTTCTGCGTTTTGATGACACCAACCCTGAGAAGGAGGAAGCAAAGTTCTTCACTGCTATCTATGACACGGTGACCTGGCTGGGTATGGACTGGACAAGGCCTGGGCAGGTCTAGTAGTCAGTGGGCTTCTTCTTGGGCCATGGCCTGCCATTGGATGTTTCTGGCTGGCTGCTCATACTGTCTAATTCTGCCCCAGGTTACACACCTTACAAGGTGACATATGCCTCTGACTATTTTGACCAGCTGTATGCATGGGCTGTGGAGCTCATTTGCAGGTGAGGCCGGGTCCTTGATGTAGAACCAAGCAGGCTGATCAGGTCACAGCTATGCTGGGCACTCACGCCCCTTCCCCATAGGGGTCAGGCTTATGTATGCCACCAGCGAGGAGAGGAGCTCAAAGGCCACAACCCTCTGCCCTCGCCCTGGAGGGACCGTCCCGTGGAGGAGTCATTGCTGCTTTTTGAGGTGGGGTTCTGTAGGAACAGCTGGTTTTGGGTGGGCCAAGATGGTGAGGATGAGATGCCCATGTGCTTAGAGGCAACCTGAGCCCTTGCTCCCCCCAGGCAATGCGCAAGGGCAAGTTTTCAGAGGGTGAGGCTACGCTACGGATGAAGGTGGTGATGGAGGATGGCAAGATGGACCCTGTGGCCTATCGAGTGAAGTATACACCACACCACCGTACTGGGGACAGCTGGTGAGTGTGGGCATGGGGTGGGGTAGCAGTGCTGTAGAGCAGGGCAGTGGGCTATGGGGTTGGGCAGAGTGTCGCTGGATGGTAGGACCCACTGCTTATGTGCCTTGCAGGTGCATTTACCCCACCTATGACTACACACACTGCCTCTGTGACTCCATCGAGCACATCACCCACTCACTCTGCACCAAGGAATTCCAGGCTCGGTGAGGGAGCTGGGCCCATGGGGTGGTAGGATCAGTGGAATTCCAACAGCCCTTCCTGTTGTCTGTCCCCGGTCCCAGAGGTGGCCAGTCCTAACCCTACTCTCCCACCCCAGACGCTCTTCCTACTTCTGGCTGTGCAATGCACTGGATGTCTATTGCCCTGTGCAGTGGGAATATGGCCGCCTCAACCTGCACTATGCTGTTGTCTCTAAGAGGAAGATCCTCCAGCTTGTAGCAGCTGGTGCTGTGCGGTAGGTGTGGCTGTTTGGCTCGTCAAAGGTTAATGGTACTAGTGGCATGTGCTGCCAAAGGCCTTTTCACCACCTTCTCATCCACAGTGACTGGGACGACCCACGGCTCTTTACACTTACGGCCCTGCGACGGAGGGGCTTCCCCGCTGAAGCCATCAACAACTTCTGTGCTCGGGTATAACCCAATGGGTTAGGTGGGCAGATGGGGGCTGAGTACAGCAGATTGTGGTTATGGCCATGATTGATGTTGAACTTTCCTGCCAGGTGGGAGTGACAGTGGCACAGACCACGATGGAGCCACATCTTTTAGAAGCCTGTGTGCGTGATGTACTGAATGACACAGCCCCACGGGCCATGGCTGTGCTGGAGTCACTACAGGTCATCATCACCAACTTTCCTGCTGCTAAGGTGGGCCTGCCTCAATGTGTGTGTGGGGTTGGGGGGCGGGGTATGCCTGGCATGGGCGTCCTAGTGCCTGGTATGACTTAGATATGTGTCTCCTGCTACAGTCCTTAGACATCCAGGTGCCAAACTTCCCAGCTGATGAGACCAAGGGCTTCCATCAGGTTCCCTTTGCACCTATTGTCTTCATTGAGAGGACTGACTTCAAGGAGGTAAATGGAGGGTGGGAGGTCTTATTTGCTGTTGAGTCTGGTCCTGGTATCCTTTGATGTCATTTCCTTTGTCAGTCCATCTACTTCCTGCTTCAGATGAACCAACTCCTGCCAGACATGGAATTGGGCGAGAAGCTTTTCATACTTGTTTGACTCTTGCAACCTCTTGTGTCTACCCCATTTCCTATGTCTAGGAGCCAGAGCCAGGCTTTAAGCGCCTGGCTTGGGGCCAGCCTGTGGGCCTGAGGCATACAGGCTACGTCATTGAGCTGCAGCATGTTGTCAAGGTGAGAGCCAGCTGCAGCCTTCCTACTGCAGTGCCTGCTGGGACCAAGATTTGAGTGTAGCCTGTGGTCCTGGTTCTCAGGTCTGATTGGTGACCCTTTCCCTCTACTTCCAGGGCCCCAGTGGCGGTGTAGAGAGTCTGGAGGTGACCTGTAGACGAGCAGATGCTGGAGAGAAGCCCAAGGCCTTTATTCACTGGGTGTCACAGCCTTTGACATGCGAAATTCGCCTCTATGAGCGACTGTAAGTGAATAGAGCTAGGGTGAGGCAGGTATAAGATGAGCATTGCCTGCTGTGGCTACCCAGCTTGGGGGGTCTGATCTTCACTCTGGCTGCAGATTCCAGCACAAGAACCCTGAAGATCCTGTTGAGGTACCTGGTGGATTCTTAAGTGACCTGAACCCGGTAGGCTCATGGAGTTTGGGGTAAGGGTGGTAGGCTTCCCTGGCTGGATGGCTGCCTAAGTTTTCTGCCTACAGGCATCACTACAAGTGGTGGAGGCAGCGTTAGTGGACCGTTCTGTGGCTCTGGCACAACCCTTTGACAAGTTCCAGTTTGAGCGTCTTGGGTACTTCTCCGTGGATCCAGACAGCCATCAGGGACAGGTGCTTGACTTTACCCAGCTGTCCCTTTCCACAGCAATGATGGTGGCTGCCATTTGCTGTGCCAACTGCTCTACCTGCATTTCCTTAGTTAATCATCACCACCTGAGGGGGTGGCATTCATGTTCTGCTGATGAGGAGACTGACTCTGAGGTTAAGTCCATGTACAAAATTTTGTATGGACCCTGCCTTTCTTACTGCTCAGAGTAGGGGGCAGGCACAGAGGTTGTTACAATCCATATGAAACTCTGGTCTGGAGCCATCCAATCCCTTACTCAGGGTCACAAAGTTATTGAGAACCTGGGTCTCCTGATCCTTGGTGGTCCCTCAGCTCCTCTGGGATGAGGAAGGAGCTAGGGGGAGGTGTCTATGGTGAAACCTACCCAGGCCTCCTGGCCTGGTTCTGGGTCGGTGGTCATTCTTCTCCTTCTGCCCTCCAGCTTGTCTTCAACCGAACTGTCACACTGAAGGAAGACCCAGGAAAGGTGTAAAGCATTGTGGACCTACCTCATTCTCCTGGAGGTGGGGGTACCCTCACCTCCCCTAATTCCATGTCAATAAAGAACACCTAAATTCCCCTGGAGTCTGTGTTAATCTGTCTGCCCTTCTAGCATCTGAGGGCCCTGGAGACATGCTGTGTGTGTGTGTGTGTGTGTGTGTGTGTGTGTGAAGGCATGTGCCTTGTGCATATTTTGTCTGAGAATGGGCTTCTCCAGAATAGAGTGACACTGACAGCTTTGAAACCACTAGTGCATTTCTTGGAGCTCAAGGGCAGGGGCCTGGGTGGGATTAATATCCTCTGCACCTGGTCTAAGGGAACAGAGGGCCCTGGGATGTTGCTCCCTAGTTAGGAGCCCTGTGCCAGAGGGATCTAGAAGGTTTGTGTCCCCCCGTGTGAAGATGAAGAGAGGCTTGGCTCCCAGTCTGATCTCTCAGCAAATAATTATTGAGTGTTTACTATGTGTTGGGCACAGTGAGATGAGGCACACATGCTGTGTTGGCTTTCCAAGTTCACTATCTAGGGGAGGGGAGACCATGGGAGACCAAGCATTGTGAGGGAGAGGTCTCCTTGGGGCCTGTGCAAGGCTAGAAGAGGTTACTGACCCAGCCTGGGCCTCAGAAAAGACTGCTCTTAGGAAGTGACTTCCGAGAGGAATCCGAAAGACTGGAGAGTATGCCAGAAACAAGTGTAAAAGACGGGAGGTAGTAAGTGTCTACAGCAGGCTGGTCACCCTCTGGGGTAGCGTGGGCTGCCTGTAAGGCCTGCATGTGCCTGCAGCTTTAACGCCTTCCACATTTTTCCCTGTATACAAACACCAGGCTGCCCTAAGCCCGCTTTAAGGTGGACCTGACTGCGAAAGGCTGAACTCACATGGCAGCAGATGGTGTGTGGGGGGGTCCCAGACACTGTGCCCTCCAGAAGGTGAGCGACCAAGGGGCTTCTCAGGTGGGACACGGCTGGGGACGCCAGGCCCAGAGCAGAGATTTGTGGGGGCCACCTTAAGTAAGAGGCCGCGCCCGGCCGGGCCCCGCCCCGCGTAGAGCTGCTCGACCAAAGGAGGCTCAGGCGGGCGACGGAAGGTGGGTCCAGGGAGCGAGCCTGGAGCACCAGCCTACGAAGGCTCCACCGCTAGGCCGAGCCCGGGCCCTGGCTCCGCCCCGCAAAGACGGGCGTCCATGGGCGGGGCGCCTGCCCTACACCCTGGATCTCCACCCGGCTCTAGCAATCCAAGGCGGAGCCTCCCTCCCTGGCTGGCTGAAGCGTTCACTTTAAGTCTGACCAGGAGGCAGCTCCAGATCTCGCGGGATCCCACGCTCCGATTCTCGCGAGAGGGGCATTCGGCACCCATTGGCTGTGAGGGTTGAATGTAAGATGGCGCCCAGGGAGCTGTGAGGAGAAAATCCTGTCGGTCTTAGAGAGGCGACGGCAGAACCGGGGTCCCGGGAGGTGCGGCGGGGCCAGCGGGTAGAGCGGAGGCGGCGGCGGCGGTGACGTCGCCAGGTGAGGGCTCCGGTAGGGGCGGGGATGCGACGAGGCTGTGGGCCTGGCACAGCAGGCCCACCCCACACAACGACGGGCGGGGGCGGGCGAGCCGCTGCCGCTGGACCCAAGGGACCTCGGGGCGGCTCCGGAGCTGAGAATGTCCCTGGGCTCGCGTGCCCCCGCCCTGTGGGTGGGGGAGGGGCTGGTCAGGGATTTGGGTGGGCGCGGCGCGCGAGCGCGCGCTAGTACGGGCGCGCGGCCGGACTTGCTTTTACGCGCGGGGGCGCGCGCGCCGTGCCGCCCTCCCGGTGCGCGTGGCCGCTGACGTGCGCGTTCCCGGCCCGGATATCTCGGCTTTTGGAATTGTGGCCCTAGGCAAGAGCTGGTCTCCGGGGCGCGCGCCCGCCACGACCCCCAGATTTGGGGCGCGCGCCCTGCTGTTGGGTGGTGGTGCTGCCTCGAGAGCGCGCAGGACGTCTCTGCTGAGCCGACGGCTGGCGGCTTGCTGCTCTTAGAAGGTTGCGGGCTGGGCCTTTCCTGCTCTGGTGACGTTCCTGGGCATCTGTGGCCTAGGCCTGGGGAGAAACCAACTTGCTTTGCTGTCTGGCTCGTGGCTCCGCTGCTCTGCGAGGCAGGCGAGATTGCCTGTTCTCCTCGAAGAATGCGGTTACTCGAGGCCCAAGTGTGGGGTGGGTGCTTGGGGAGGGTGCTCTACCCTGCTTCGGAAACCGATCCCTGTTGGCTTGAGAGGGCCGTGACCCCCCTCAGGTTTCCTCACCTTGTATTGGTGCTTTGTGCCGGGGAGGGAAGGTTAACATCAGAAGGCCCTTAAGTAGTGTCTGCTTTCTTTTCATTAGAAACTCATTCTTCCATAAGCGCAGTTCATACACGTCACTTCTGTGCGCTCCGGAAGGGGCTCTTTTGTGGACATTGTGCAGCTCTCCGAGCTTTAAAATGCCACTTTAAATCCTTAAATGCAGGCTTTTCTTCTGCGTGAGTGGGAGGGGCTTACTTTAGTCTGTTATAATACTAAGGGCCTGCTGTTTCCTCAGCCAGAAAGTTGCCTAGAACAAAATTGAGCAACCTTAGAGTCAGTACTTTGCTTTTTTTTAAATTCCAAAATTCTCCAGCAGAAATTTCTAAAATCTGTCCCTGTGTCACTGTAAAGGTCACTTTTGATTTAGGATTTCAAACCTTTTCAGCTCTTTTTCACCCCAACACTGTGTTCTGGTGCTAAGAGAATTCTAGGTTTGTCCTAGAGAAGAAATACGCATCTCTTTTTTTCCTAAGACAAAACATCTGCTAGTTTATGTTTTACGGTCTTTCTTCATTAAGTTTAAGGAAAAGGAAGCTAAGAGGAAGAAAATTAGCAATCAAATTTAATAATCACGGGCAGTTCTTTCTAATGTACTGTATTTTTTTAAGAACAAAGTTAAAACTTAAAAAGAGGCTGAGGATGGAAGGAACTTTTTTGTTCTATCTTCTTCAGAATGTTAGAAGTCTTAAGAACTCAGGACAAGCAGCAGAAATACATGCAACATGGTGACTGGTGAGTCAAAATCGTTCATATGCTGGAAGTATGTGTGCACAATTTTTTCTGGTAATATTGAAACCTCACAAATCCTGTCAATCATTCTGGGTCCTGTGTGCCAGAAACTTTTAGGTGGTATAAAACTGAAGATGTGGGAAAAGTGCATCTTTGAATCCAGCGACAGTTTGCTGCTTGGACAATTTTCTCCTCTTAAAGTATAAGTCAGTGCAACTTGCATGACAACGCATCAGCTTTTCGAAGGACCTAAATGGTTCAAAGAGAAGCAGTCAGGTTTATCTGGGATACACTTATAAATTTTTTTCTTTTTTTTGGGACAGAGTCTCACTCTTTTTGCCCTGGCTTGAGTGCTGTGGCATCAGCCTAGCTCACAGCAACCTCAAACTCCCGGGCTCAAGCGATCCTACTGCCTCAGCCTCCCGAGTAGCTGGGACTACAGGCATGCGCCACCATGCCCGGCTCATTTTTTCTATATATTTTTAGTTGTCCAGCTAATTTCATCCTATTTTGTTAGTAGAGGCGAGGTCTCGCTCTTGCTCAGGCTGGTCTGGAACTCCTGAGCTCAAACAATCCACCCGCCTCGGCCTCCCATAGAGCTGGGATTACAGGCGTGAGCCACCGCGCCCGGCCAATTTATAAATTTAATATACCTTTTAGGTCTACTTGTTCTGGGTTATCTTTGTTTTTAACTGTTAAGTTTGAGATCTTCCTTTTAAATTGGTGTTTGTAAATAATATTGCCCTAAGTTTATCAAGTAAGATTTACCTACTAGATGTCCTAATCCTCTGTCATGAATTGTTTGTGTACCTCTCCATGAACCTCTGCACTTCCACATCCCCTTTCCAGCTTATCTTTTCAAACAAAAGACCAAATAGTGGTTGAATTTTCTTGTAAATTCCAATTGTTCCAGAAAAGTAACCAAAGTCAGGGTCTCTGGGTGTGGCTGCCCTTTATGGCAGCTTCAGAATCATGGATATCTTTCTTCAAGCTTGTATGCTTGCTTTTAGTCAGTTGTGGTTTGTACTTGATGTGTGTTTGTGTCCTTTCTGCTTTTTAAATGGCCACCCTTTATGTCTGTGAGGATCTTTTATTTCTGAGTTAGCCTCAGAATGAGGTATTACGTGAATACCTGTTCTTTCCTATTACTTTGTTTCCCTGAATTTTGTTCCAGATGTTTTAAGTCCTCTCCAAGCTTCACTTAAATGCTTCCTTTTTTCCTCTAATTATCACATTGGATTGTAATTTCTATTATTAAACTCAAGTAGCTGCATGAAGAAATGATTAATCTCTTGCTTTGCTGAAAGGGGGAAAGGAATGCTCCTTTGGTCTCACTCTTTAGGCCAGGGCAAAACTGTGGGTAGAGCTGGTGGACTGTGTCAGAAAGCTGATTTTTTTTTTCTTTTTTAAAATTTGTGAAACATCTGTTTATATAAATATAGATGATCTTTATACAATTTAATGAAAAATTATAAAGTGAACTCCAGTGTAACTTCTACTTCTAAAAGAAATAAAACAGTGCCAGCATCCCCGAACCCTTTATGGGTCCCTCCCTACTTACAGCTTTTCAACCCCTAGAGATGACTACTACTGTGACTTCTGTGATAATCATATTCTTTGTTTTTCTTTTTGCGTTTACCACCTTTGTATCCTTCAGCAACATAGTTTTGTTTGTTTTTGAATTTTATATAAATGGAATTCTGCTATATTGTCTTACTACTTTTAGCATTGTTTCTGAAATTTGTCCGCATTGTGTATAGTTGTTCATTCTCATTTCTATATAGTAGTCTGTTGTATGAATATAGCATAATGTATTTATCCATTCCACTATTGATAGACATCTAAGTTGCTTCTAGTTTTGGGCTGTTAGCAATACTGCTCTGAATATTGTTGTATAAGTACCCTGGTATGTGTGTATGTCATATATGCCAAGGGATAGAATTGCTGGGTTTTATGGAATGGATATTTTCAACTTCACTAGATAATACAGGTGGTTGTGGCAGTTTACAATCCATCAATATATGGTAGAAATATACATTTTTAAGTTCCTGGTTGAAAGTGTGTAATGTCCAAAAACAGAACCATTTTGAACCATGATGAAAATGCTGCTAAATCAGGGACTCCTGTAAATGGCCCAGTGAGATATTTCTATCACAAACCCTGAAGGGGGCTAGTATAGTATCTTTGATGATAGAAATACATCTTCTACTATGCTTCTTTGAAATAACTCCTTACGTTAATTAGCACAAATATAACTGTAACTCCTTAAGATTGAAATTGATTTTGTTTTTCATGTGAATATATTCTTCAAACCAGACTTACTAAGCTGTGAGGAGCTATATTGCAAGAGTAGATGTGAACCTTGAGAGGAGCTCAAAGCTCAAGGAAGAGGCAGGGCTCTGAGCTCAGACTGTCTTGTCTTAGTCTGTCACATATTCAAGATCCACTCTTCAGAGCTATACAGGGAGTCCAGAAGAAGTATCAGAGATAAGAGACCCAAGAAGCGCTGATTCCAGTGAGAACAGTACTTGGATCTTCCCTTAATACCTAAATGGAAAAAAGAAAGAAATTTGCAAGCAGACCTAATAGATGTTGTTTTGCAACAACCTTTGTTCATGGTACCGTCTTGTGTTCTAGTGGTAAGATAATAAAAATAATAACTCATGTATTGAGGGACTGATGTATGTCAGGCACTATGCTAAGCTCCAGTAGAAGGAAGTACAGGGGAGATACCAGTGATCAGCTTAGGCATACTAGTGAAAATCTCCGGGGTCTTTTGATAGGGGTGCTGGTTTGTCTTTATTGTTTTGCATAGCAGCTATACTTGAAGTATTTAGAAGCAAATGCCTGTTTATGGAGTCCTACTCCCCAGAGTACCACAGTATTTTTTTTTTTCCATTATTAATCTCATCTAACTCCCAGAAATAGGGAGCACTCCAATATCCCTATAGCTTCATGTGTTCCAGAAGTGTTTTAATTAATTTCTTTACTGTTCCTCACCAGGTCTTTGACTTGTAGCTAATTAAGAACCTTTTGTTTATTTGGGGGTTGTGGAGGATAGTTTCTTCAAGTTCCTCTATTTCTCTTTATTACCAAGACTCAGCTTTTGTGTCTTGTAAGCAGCATCTTGAAGTTAACAATCCTCATTATTGTGCAAGTTTTTGGTGCTTTATGGTTTAGGTTGTCTTTTTTTTTTTTTTTTTTGAAACAGAGTCTCACTCTCTTGCCTGGGCTAGAGTGCCGTGGCATCAGCCTAGCTCACAGCAACCTCCAACTACTGGGCTCAAGCGATCCTCCTGCCTTAGCCTCCCGAGTAGCTGGGACTACAGGCATGCGCCACCATGCCCGGCTAATTTTATATATGTATATTTTTAGTTGTCCAGCTAATTTCTTTCTATTTATAGTAGAGATGGGGTCTCGCTCTTGCTCAGGCTGGTCTGGAACTCCTGAGCTCAAGCAATCCTCCCGCCTC